GGGTTATCGAAAGTTACTCTTAAAGAAGTAAATAGGTAACTTTTACTTTTACATAAAACATAACTGACGACTGCGTTTATTTAACTTTTATTTGATACAGTATTTAGTAAATATGAATTTCAAAATATGGCAGTATGGTTAATGATCGATTTGAAATAATAATATACACAAATTCAGTACTTAATATGAAAAAATGTAGTGCTTACATAAAACAATACACACTTACACGTGTAAAAGTTATGGTTCCATTTCGTAATTAATAGAAATACCTCGTAAGTACGCTATAACATTTCGATTGTGATAATCGGTTACAATCCTTCGAATGCGGGAATCAGCGTCACGATATTTTTTTAGTTTTTTCGGAGGAGTTCTTCCTGCCACCAGCTGTTCATACACAACATCACGCCCCTTTTGAACCTTTTTTAAAGCAGTAATAAATTTCCACAACGCAATATAGCAATATAGCGTGGCGCCGAAATGGTTTCGCGCCAAAATGGCTTCGCGCCAAAATGGCTTCGCGCCGAAATGGCTTCGCGCCGAAATGGCTTCGCGCCAGAATGGCTTCGCGCCAAAATGGCTTCGCGCCAAAACGGCGGCGCCGAAACAGCGGCGCCGAAACGTCCCATCCCGCAACGAACGGTGTAAGTATCGTGAGCGTTTTAAATTTATGGCGGGTTTATACCATCAATGTAATTAGTTCACTATCATTAGATCATTAAGAAATACTCAATAGAAACAAGCGTTTATTGTGTGTCGTTAACCAACGAACCTATTGTGATCTAAAGGCAAGTTTTCTCACGCAAGTTGCTGTCTGACAGCACTGTCCAGCTATAAAAACAACCATAAGCCGTAAGCGAACTTGCGACAATTATCGCGCAAGCAACTATAAACTTACCATTAATATAATCTTGTGAGAAGATGCCATTAGGAGGGTATCGAGATTCCTTATTGGGCTTGTACCAAAGAGTATTATGGTTACTCTTTGCTTGTACTAGTTTCAGAAAGGTTCTGCCATCTAGTGTTGAAGGTAACGGGTGCGCATGGATCTGCAGTTAGGGGTAGTTCGCTTATTATATTGTCTCTATGGAATTTTATAGGAAACTACATTTTGACCCCCGCGACTTGGTACGTTCAATATTGATGGATATATGGTAACGGCAACCCAGCGTACAGAATGTAAAAATATATACACATCGGCACGGTACGACGTAAGTGACTTGGCGCATGTATATCGATCCATATCGGAATAGCAGAGTGCAACATCAACGAAAAAAAAGTTTTAAAAATTCCTATAACAATTCATCCGTCCTTCGAAAACTATACTCCATTTTGCGATAAATTTCATTTAATTAAATTAATAATTAGGTTCATTCTAAATTTTGCGAAAAATCGATTTTCTATTGGGGCACAAAATGTCAATCCAACAGTTTTTGAAAAAATCCTTGAACACATCAATTTTTATCTTAATTGAGACATATTTTACCGTACTTGTCACTTAAGGATCGTTTATGAGATATGCCGTAACCACGAACTTACCGATAATTATTATAATTAATTTTATTCGTGTTTTAAAACTTTAAAGCAATTATCTCTAATATTTCAAAATACAGTAGGTATCGTACTTTTTTAGCGTATTTGGTTTTAGGATTTCATACTCTTCCAAATTCAGCTTCAAAACATAGGGTTTCCATTAAAAAATTATCGCTAACGTCATATCTCAAAAACAAAGGATCCTGAAGTGACAGTTAAAGTTGTCTCACAAATTGATGTGTTCGAGGATTTTTTCAAAAACGTTTACTAAAAAACTTATTGCGATAGTTCTAGATTTGATATTTGCACTGTATATCGGTATCACGTACCTACTCTGCTGATATACTGTATTTTTATATATGGATGATATTTTTATTTATATATTTTTTTAAAATTCTATATATATTGAGAATTTATTTTCGATTAAATTCGAACCGATGCGATGACTACAAATCTCTTGCAAAGTTAAAACCGCTGACCTATGCTTGAATCCCTCTTCTGCTTTTTACGTTTTCCAAATGATTATAAGTAGGTACATGATTAGATATTTTATTGGTTAAAACCGTTTATCAACTTGCATTAGTATTATCATATGTACTTATCGGTAGTAGTCTGGTCTCGTACCATTTATTTAGTTGAAAAAAGCGAGGCCAGTGTGAGTTTCGTTTGTCAACAATGAACAAAAATGTGACCGATGTTCCAAAATGCGGCTTCAAATTAAATTTAGATCACACATACCCTGAAACTTGGTTCCCACAAATTTTTCCGAAATGGAAACATCTTTGGCCACACCTAATTGGACTTTTGAGGTAAAATTTATTTGATAATAAGACATTTTTCTAACAATTTTGTATTTAAGATATCTATTTGCTTATATATACGCCGTAATTTTTCGCCGGATGTTAGTTTTGGATCTCTTCAAACAAGTTCAGAGCAAAAAAATTCATGGCAAGTCCATATAAAGTTGTAACAATTACAAGGTTTTAAATGTTTCTGTTTGTAGGGGTTCCAATAGGGGGTATTGGTGGTACTATAGGTAGAGGGTTTCGCGGGGAATTTTCTAGATATCATTTGAAACCTGGAATTTATAGTTATACTACCGTGGAAGCTAATGAGTTTATTGTTACAATTAAAGACGCTGCGGATGTAACACTCTTTCAAAGCACTCTGTCTACTTACAAGTAAGTGTTTTGTCGTTAAATATATAGTTTCATAAGCAGGATGTAACAATTAAGTTTATAACGAGTAAAAAGGATTTCGTCCTAAGGCGAGTAACTTCAGCGCATTTTCCATGCATGGATAAGTACTTCCCAAAAGGCATATATATGGTTAATATTTCAAAGTAATCTGTAATCAAAGTATCTGTGGTTAAAATTTGAACAAAATATATTAATAAATATGAAAGTTGATTGCGTAGCCTGCGCTAAAAAAATGGGTGATAGAGATTTGTTTATAAATGAACCGAAGATGGACCATTGGAAGCTACGGCTCCTAAACCAATACAAATAAAAGGATGGAACTTTGTTATTTGATTTCTGGCGGTTTTCATGAAACTAACTAATCAAAAATTAGTTTTTGGTAACTGGGGAAAAAATTCCACCTGCAATTCTTCGTGGTACCACCAGTAAGAATTGACTTGAAGTTATCCATCAGGATTAATCATCACTCGTTTCTATTTCTATCTTGGCCTGGGGTCCGCCATTCTTTTCCGATAATGCTCGTACGGTCCTGAGAGTCTTTTCGTTCGCTCGTTGAACCGCTCGCTCCTAACGCGATCCAGAACCTCATATTGCTGTATGTCATGAAACAAGTTATCTATATAGATCGCTATGGTGCCTCGCCGCCATGCCCGCCATCACTGATCATACAACCCAATCAGGATTTTTTGTATCCTCGATGGTCACGTTTAACTTTCTGCAGTCTCTCGCATTATGGCGAAAATAGAAAATATTGGACCACATTACCCTCTTTTTTTGGACAAACTTCGAGATTCTGATTCTGCTCTGAACATCCCAGACACTTCAGATCTGTGTACTCACAATGTTATACATTTATCAGTAAGCAAAGCTTGTCTGACTTTTATATGTCAATATTCGGACTTAATCAAAATTTTGATATTCTATGTATTCAAAAACCTCGCATTTTTCTAAAAAATTGGTCGATTATAGCGTAGCCTACCGATAGATCTAGCCGTGACATTGATTTAGTGACGTCACAACTGGAGATGGGCCACTGCAACGCGATACTATGTGTTTAAATGCAATTTGATTCGCGTGCGTACTCATTTAACGCGAAAACATTTAGTAATTACTTATTTTGAGCCGCAGGATTGTTATATGTTGTTTCCTAATTATAGACACGTGTTATTATGCAAAAATTTTATTAAATACGTATATAAACAACAAATATTCACTGAAAACCGAGCTGAAAACAAATCAAATTTAAACATTCTAATACACACATCTGCCTTTTTTAGCGTAACACAACGAAGTTGAGGTAACGCTTATGTGCTCGTTATTCCGTCGTCTGCCTATCTGTCTGTTCCATCGAGATCTCGGCCCCTGGACCACCTAGAGACTACAGGTTTTCGGTCATTTGTAGTTGCAAAGGTCTATATTTTCCCGTTACTCATCATTTACATCCTTTTCATATATGATGGCTGATTTTCAAAAATGGTGGGATACGTGTCTTCGGTAAGTTTAATCTGGTCTCGTGGAACTGTTACCTAATACTGTATCGTCTTATCTAGTCATATTGTCTACCCGAATAATGAAAATGTCAGAGAAATGCTTTATACAAACCCTGGAGTAACTAGTAATTTCAAAATTGTCCCGATGAATACATCTTAACCACTTTTTTTGATCGTCTTCATTTTTCGGAAAACGGAAAACCGTAAGGAACGTTGTCTCTTGAACTATAATTGCTTTTGCAACCAGGGACGCAGCACGTATTTGACATTTTCTTACTTATTCTGTTCGAATACAGTTAATTTAAGTGTACAACATTACACTACTTGGAATTAATTACATTAAAAGTCGATATGACGGCCGCCGTCAGTTGTGACGTCAACGCAATAGTGGGGATGAGTGTCACGGCTAGTTCTATCGGTAGGCTACGATTATAGGTACGACAAGGTATCCGCTCCTATATGGGATCCTCTTGGTTGAACGAGCTTAAGTAGAAGATAAGATAAACGAAAATGTCGCTTCATTGCAATCGATTTTATACACATATTTTTCACTTTGCATTTGGCCTCGCCCTTACACAAAGCTTTCTGTAAATAATGGCCTCAGAAATAATTGGCATTCCAAAATATGGTTTAAAATTACACTTAGATCATACATATCCAGAAAATTGGCCCTCATCTATATTCCCAAAATGGCGGCATATTTGGCCGCTATTACCTCTGCTTATAAGGTAAAAAGTGAAAAGTAAAAAAAATGTTTATTAACAATAATTTTATTTTTAAGGTATATACTTCATGAGGTTACATCTGCGATTTTTAGTCCCTCTATTGTAATGGATTACATTAAACTTGGTAGGACCGAGCAAATATATGGTAGTGGTATACATTTGCAGTGGTTAAAGGGTGTTATTATTCGTATTTGTAGGAGTGCCAATAGGTGGCATTGGTTGTACTATAGGTAGAGGGTGCCGTGGGGAATTTTGCAGGTATCAATTGAAACCTGGAAAATGTAGTTATACAACGGTGGAAGCTAATGAATTTATTGTTACAATTAAAGACGCTGACAATATAACACTTTTTCAGAGTGTTTTATCTACTTACAAGTAAGTGTGTGTTTTAAATTAAATTGAATAAGACGAAAGTTGATTGTCGCCAGTTGTACATCAACCTCAACTTTATTAACGATCCTCGAGATCGTTTATAATTTTGTATTGCTGTCCGTCTGTCCGTGTGGGCGATAACTTTGTTTAGAAATCGATCGTTTTGAATATTGCTATGGGGAAGGTCGTTAGTGTTGTATCTCTTATAATATCGAAATGTGCCGAGTTGAGTTTGAAGACTATACACTTTGGGTACAAAATTGCTTAGGGAAAATGCTTTAGTAAACCACTTGACCAAAAATTAGACAAGATTAAAAGTAATTGGAAAAAGATGATGTTATTTTTTGTATGCAGTAATTTACAATTTCACGAAGCAGTAACACAGATTGCAGCAACAACTAACTTTTTTATTATCTATAATAATTAAATTTTACTTAATAATGTAACGTAAATTTAATTATGATATCTCTATACATATATAAAAATGAACCCCTGTTTTTTCTGGTCACGCAATAACTTTAGAACGACTTTACCGATTTCATTCATCCTTTTTTTTAAAGTTTTCTAATACTGTGTACAAGGTTCTTACGGCAAGAAAAACTAAGAAAATCGCGCAGAAAATTGGAAAATTGGAGAAAGCTTAACGACTATTTAAACATCGCGCGTTTGACGGTGCGGCAGCAATTGTTTTAACAGCTACATCGATCGGCATATATCCGTAAAAAAATTAATTTGTGTGCTGTCAATTCGATCGGAAAGTTTATCCAGATATCAGTGAGTTTTTTGAGAAATGTCGATGTTATTTCACCGCAATCACGCCTTTTATATTAAAAGTTTGATATATATCTACCCAATATTCATGTTTGGTAAGTGTTGATAGACTAAACACGTGGTATACATAGTTATACAGAAACACTAGGGAGTTCATTTCTATTTTCAGTTGAATTTTAGTTTTTTCAAGATGCTACTAATTAGACGTGCCAACATGGTACCAACTTAAGTCGCAGAATTCGTAATCCTACAAGTCAAACATACAGGGTGGTGCATGGTAAGTAGGAATAGGGATTTAACATGGGAAATTAGTTTTATGCAATATTCTGCCCTCATGTACTTACATTTTACAGAAAAAACTGTAGAGTTTAAAGTTGTTCAGAATTAAAAGGTGCATACAAAACTGTTTTTACATGTTTTATATTAAGCTTTGGTTATACCCGCAAATTTAAAAATAAATGTCAACATTTCTGTTATTAATAGCAATAGCCATGACTTTTGTTGTTTTATGAATTGCTATACTAATAACAGAAATTTATTTTTTAATTTGCGGGTATACCAAAAGCTTAATATAAAACATGTAAAAACAGTGTTGTATGCACCTTTTAATTCTGAACAACTTTAAACTCTACAGTTTTTTCTGTAAAATGTACAGGAGGACAGGATATTGCATAAAACTAATTTCCCATGTTAAATCCCTATGTTCCTCCTTACCGCGTGAACCACCCGGTATATACGAGTAAGTCAAACTGACGAGCAAAGCGAAGCGCGAAACGAAGTTAACGAAGTCGATATGAACAACGCAGAAATGTACCCTTTAAGCCCTATCGAGCTGCATTTAATTACAACGTAACAATCGATTACAGTTTACAGTAAATCGTTGCTATTAGACCAATGAACTCTGTGTGTCCACATTGCAAGTCTTTTAAGTTTAAAACTGAAGCCCCGGAATTATGTTACGCCAGTGGCCAAGCGAAATTGACGCCATTGGTACCGCCACCAGAGCCACTACATTCCTTGGGCCAGATTCTATACATTTTTTACTCATATCCAGAAATAAAACAATTGTTTTCAAATTACGACATTTGGCGCAGCAAAAAAAAGTACGTTGCTAGCTCTGAATCGCCAAAAGCAACGTAGAAGTGAGTGCGTTTATTTTTTATTATTTTGGGGAGGAGGAGATTTTGGAGCAAGTATGTCAAAATCTCTTTTCCGGCTAAACGGTTGAACCGATTGAAACCAAATTTGGTACACATATTCTTAGACATAAAAGGGCAGAATTGCGCATGCGCAGGTGGGGCGGGTGGTACGTGCACTAGGCATAGAGAATTTCTCGAAATCATTTTCTGTTATTATTTAGTCCAGTTCAAATTGATTAGGTATGCATAGCTAGGAAAGAGGACATCGTCCGTCGGGTCAGCTAGTATTTATATAAAAATTACATCATTATTAATAGACTTATAACGGTCCTTAAATATATTCATTTTTAACAGTTAATAATTTTATTTATCCTACCCACATGTACTTACATCACGTAAATTTATCGCAAATTTATAACCCCAGCGCGTATTTCGTTATTTATCACTACAATATCGATGTTAAGACTAAGACACATCCGCTTTCATTTCTTATCGTCGGTGATTAATCCTTGATGGCGCCTTCTAGAAAATTCGCTACAATAATCTATTCGTATGTAACGAGTTAACGACTACTGTCTCAAATTATATCGTGTGTAATTTATTTGAAGTACAGGTAAATAAATACTTTTTGTTCCTGGGTGTGTATGAAGGTGTAAATCATGCATATTGTATTTTTGTCAAACATGTTGGTTTTTTTAAAAATTAGATAGGTAAAAGGCCGCTGTTTATCATATTAAGACGTTGGTGCATAAACGCGTATGGTGGTGGAAAAGAAGAGATAACAATGCGAGTATAGACGACGAGTCGCTCGCGGGTGAGTTGAACTTTCAATGCGTGCGGTTTCCACGTCGCGCATTTTTTAACTTTTTGAAATAAATAAGTACGCAAGAAGTCCGTTTCGTTTTGGGGCCATAATAGTTAATAAGTGAGAAGTGCGAATTAAATCGTAGGTGCTTATCCGTAATAAGTACGAAATAAATGTGTTGCAATAGTGCTAGAAGTTGCATAAAAGTTACTTGGAAAGAACAGGTCACATCCGCTTTAATTCTTTATCGACGATGACTAATTATTTATAGACTATCGATATCGCTCTAGAAAATTCGCTACAATAAAATAAAAGAAAAATACATATAGTCATTTTATTGGTCAAGAATAAAATCGTTCAGAGTTGTAAAATTTGCAATAAATTTCAAGGGCCAAACATCTCCAAAACCGAATTAAAAACAGTAAGGTCGAAGAGTCTGTGAGGAAAGCAATAGTTGAAATACTGCTGAAGAAAAGGAAAGTAAAAAAAGACAGGCAGTTGGCAGAGATGAAACGAACGCGCAAGCTAAAAAGTAGTTTCATTTAAACCTAAGAAGTATGTTTATGCAAAAGAATAATGCACGTTAATTTTGTGTATTTTTTTTCCTATAATACTTTTTTTATTTATTTATGTTGGAACTCTTTCAAAGTGAAAAAGTGGAACCGGAACCGACAATTACTGAAACCACAGAACCGGAACCGAAACATATATTTTATATGGGTTCCAATCCCGGGTCATCGGAAGTACTTTCTATTGTTGATTTGGTGCGGACCATGTCAAATCAATTATAGGGCTGTCCTGACGCGGTTAGAATGCAGCTGCTTCAGGAGGAGGAAGGCCACCTCTTATTGCAAATAGTGCTCTTACATCTATAGGCCCGGCTATAGTACGATAAGAATGTTACGCGCATTAGGAATTCTGAACGTTGTTCGAACAATCTCCCTGTATTAAATATTAACAAAATAATAATGACATTTAATTAAAAAAACAAATGAAACGTTTGCGGATGTCGCTCTAAAATTAAAAAGAACTTTGTCTCTTTGATTGTTAAGTATTAGTACTTATGTTTTAAAATTTTAGGAGGAGCAACAAAATTCTAAGCTCTTGGAAGCAGAGGTTGGATGCAAGTAAATGCAAGTACACTGGCTTGTACCCCAGAGCATGGACGGAATATGATCTTTCTGATTATGGGATAAAACTAATCTGCCGACAAGTTAGTCCTGTCATTCCTCATAATTATAAGGTACTTAATTGAATTAATGTATTGTTGGATTGTAATTCGAATGTTGGTGTTTAGAATACCAACATTTGCTGGCCAAATGTGTATGATGGATACGGTTTATGTGGTTTCGTGGCTGGGCATTTGTGCAATAATAAATCTATTGGCAAAATAATTTATAGGCCTGCTCTTAACTCATTGATGCGGGAGTGTGAGATTGCTTCTTATCAGAAAATTACTCCTTTTGATATTTCTGTTTCACTTCTTTTTTTATTTTTGTGTTGGTACAGATCTGCACCCCCCCCCCCCCCCTCTGCATTTTTAATAGTGTAGAGTATACCTAATCAGTCCTACAAACGGTTAGGTTCAACAAGTCTCTCTGTCTTCTTCTTGGAACCTGTACCTTCACCTTCTGCATCCTTTTGAGGTCACTTTTTTTAAATTTTCGTTTGTTTTCCGACATACCTGCTTTACTATAAGCAAAATTTCTATTGATGAAATTTCTTAAATTTGAAAATAGACATATCACTATAGGTACTGCCATAGGCGCTTTCTTTCGGTGATCCAAACGCGTTTGGATTGTCAAATCACGTTCTTTCGAAGTGTGATCTTATAATCATGATTGCTAAAATCGTGAACAAACTGAACATAAAAGTATTTTGACACGAATTCCTAACCTATAAATGCAAGGATATTCTGGATATTTTTGCTCAAATGTTAGATTAGTCAATATTTGTATAGCATAATCGTGCACGTGCTTCCACTTGTATTTAAATTATTTTCATAATCCAAACAAAAAATACGTAATTCGAATGCAAATGTGCGCTACGTAAACTTAACCAAACTTTGATTCAAATTCGCGCGTTCTTTCGTAAAACGTGATCCTACGAATCACGATCTCGAAATCATGATTGCGAAGTAGCCGAAAGAAAGCGCCTCATGCTGAAAAGAGTGAAGGATACTCCTGCTGCTCCCGTTAAAAAATGAAAGCTGTGCTGTTTCTTATAAACTGTGCAGTTTCCACCGTTTTCCGTTGCCAACTTCCATACATTTACGTATACTTACTCTTGCAAATTATATTCTGCGAATCTATGGATCATGCTGGGTCTCGAGAATGAGTCTGTGAGTCGGATTTCCTTGTCTTACAAGTTTTGGACTAGGACCGACAAATCGCTCCCATTCGCCCGCAGTTCCTTCTATAATCTGGTCTCTTCCGTATTGCGAATTCGTATTTGCTCTTCAGTTTATTTTACTGTTTGAAGTGTAATTTCCTAGCTTCCCTTTACAAACGGGTTTTGAAGCTGCAAATTGTCTTGTAAGTAACTTTTACTTCGTCACTGTCGGTAGTTGGGAATCTACTCATTTACATGTCAAACGGATCCTTGATCCAGTCGGTTATTAAGTATTCCTCTATCATTCTCGTTTGGCCATGTGAACGGAGCACAGTGTATATATTTTTCAGAAAGAACCTTTCATTTACAGGACAGTTCGCTACCATGTGCCGTGTTTATTTGGAACATAGAAAACATATCTAATGAAGAAAGGAAGGTAACAATCGCTTTTACATTTAAAAATGGAATGAGCGATTTAACAAGTAAATCAAGTGCGTTTTATTCGATCTTTTATTTGACTTGTCGTTTCACATTTCCCACTTTACAGCACCTTGCAGTACACAGAGCTTTTCGTACTTGGATTCTAGTGGAGTAACGTTACGTAACTACATAGAAAAAATGCCATGCACCTATGCGCTCGCAGCGAAACTAAAGGACAATATGAACGTATCGAAATGTTTATACTTCAATCCCACTTCTGATGGCGCTGAGCCATGGAATCAGTTATACGATGATGGAAATTTTAGCGATTTGACTAAAACGGAAACGGACGAAGTGTACGATGAAGTGGGATGCGGGATTGCTGTTCAGGTGAAGGTAGCGCCGGGTGCGGTGGAGGAGCCCGAAATGTGCTTGGTGTGGGACATGCCGATTGTCAGTTTTCCTGAAGGTGTCACGAAATACAATAAATTTTATACCAAATATTTTGGCGTCGAGAAGGCGGCTTTGAAAATTGTGAATCACGCGTTAAGAAATTACAAAGATTGGGAATTGGCGATTTACAAATGGCAGGAGCCCGTTTTGAACGATGCGTAAGTAATTGATTGAAAATTATCCGACGTTATCACAGTTGCCGTGCTTATAGTGAATTGCCAGATTGGTATAAAGCTGCTTTGTTTAATGAAACTTATTTCATTTCTGATGGTGGTACTGTATGGTTCACGTTAGGCGAGGAAGAGTCCGAGAGATTACCCGTTACGGATCCCAGGTAATAGATATAAGTACCGCTTTCGTTTACTAAGGCAACCAATTTTAAGGCAGAAGTATGGCCGATTTGGTTACTTGGAAGGGCATGAATACCGGATGTATAACACTTACGATGTGCACTTTTACGCCTCTTTTGCTCTCGCAATGAATTGGCCTAACTTGCAGAAGAGCATGCAGTATGATTTTAAAGATTATGTTTTCTTAGAAGATCATCACCGCCAGCGGATGTGGTACGATGGAAAATTCGCCCAAAGAAAGATAAAAAATTCGGTTCCTCACGATTCTGGCGATTCAAGTAAGGCGATCTTCTATAAATTGTTTTTTTTTGTGATTCATATTCTAGACGGAGATCCTTTTGTTCTCATAAACGTTTATCCCGTTCATGATGTTAGTGAATGGAAAGACTTGAATTCGAAATTTGTACTCCAAGCACTTCGTGATTACAAGCTAACCATGAAGTTTGAAGATGGGAGTTTTGGAAAACAATATTTAGAGGATATGTACAAAGCTTGCCACGTCGTCATGCAGAAGTCGATGACTTTTGATACGGATCACGATGGCCTAATCGAAAATAGTGGTTTTCCAGATCAAACTTATGACGCTTGGATTATGACGGGATCAAGGTAACTATTTTGCATTCGTGTTTTAATTTGCAAGTTGGCGATGTTGACAGTGCGTATTGTGGAGGTTTATGGCTTGCAGCCTTATATGCGATGGTTGTTATTGCTAGAGAATTAAATAAAAATGAAGATGAAAATATGTACGCTGGAATTTTGGAAAAGGCAAAGACTGCATTTGAAGACAAGTTATGGAATGGAAAGTTTTACAACTTCGACTGTTCAAAGCTGGCCTCTTCCGTAATGGCGGATCAACTTTGCGGCCATTGGTATTTACGATGTAGCGGATTTGAATACGAGGTATGTCACAATTCAAATCTGACAATCACATTTACTCAGAAATTGTGCTGATAAAGTCATTTTAATATCCTATACAGGGATCTTGTAAACCGTCCGCAAAGTTTATGCTGATTAATTTTCCCATTCAAAGTTTCTTGTAGCTTTACAAATACTGCATTGTTCTCTTAATGAACACATGCACAATTTTATACAATAATACAATAATCTTGAAAGGAAATAAAGTTTAACAAAGGACACACCTGCAAATTTAATTCAATTTTAACGTCTTTTCATTTGACTTGCGGTGTAACCAATCTTTCTCAAAAATATTAAGATTGATTACAAACTAAAATGTGTCTGTTAACAGCAATTACAACAACAAGTCATAAATAAATCGATAAATAATATTTTTGTATTTTAGGTGTTCCCTAAGAGCAATGTAGAGAGTGCACTAAACACTATTTTCGAAAATAACGTGATGAGGTACAAAAATGGTACAAGTGGAGCGGTAAATGGTTACATATTTGAGAAAGAAATTGATACGACCGCACTGCAGAGTGAAGAAGTTTGGACCGGTGTCACGTATTCGCTGGCGTCGTGTATGATATATGAGAATTTAAATTCAAAAGCGTGGAAAACCATCGGTGGTATGGTGAATTTGTTAACAAACCGTATTGGATTGGCATTTGAAACGCCTGAAGCTCTTGGTTTTAAGCACTACCGTTCGGTCGGATACATGCGACCTTTAAGTATATGGGCTGTTCAGCTGGCGTGGGAGTCTCAAAGAAAGAATTCTGCACTGAAACCCACGTTTCCGATAGAAGATATGGTTGAAAAACCTGCGTAATTTTTAATAAAGATAGATACCTACAGTTTCACCAATGGTGAGCCCTGCATCACTAGACTGTGAACCAGTTTCCAACTATTTAGTTACCATCTCATTCTAGCTTGACACGTGATAGAGAATTTACTCATTTGAAATTGGATCACAAACTAGTGACGCAGGGATCACCTTTCGTGAATTCAACTGTACCAAACTAACAGCAAGTATTCTATTTCTAGCCGTTAAAACAATAAACCTTAATGTTAGTGATACATTTTTCACAGTGATCCTGTGGATTTAGTTTTAACCATTAAATTAAACACAGTCACATTGTAAGCCGAGTCTAGCCTAGCTCGTTTAATAATTTGACTAGCAGTATGTTTGCATATTCTTCATTTGTGAAAACTAAAATGACACCAATTTCTGCGAATTTTTGTCAAACTGACATAACTAATATGCCAAAATAATCAACAAAAAAAGGACTGCAAGCATGACACTATCTACTTGAAGTGGTCAAAACATCTCATTAATAGGTAATATGACATGAACAACTTGAATTCTCTAAGGAATACGTAAGAAAATTTTGCCTCTCCTTGCGGGACATCCTCTATGTCAGGTACGTTGGTGTAAGAACTAAGGAGATCGAATATTAATAGGTAAGTAGTATATAAATCGCCTTAGGCAAAAATGTGCCAAAATGTCAAGTTGTGTTGATCTTAGGGGGTCCCCAACCTGCACTGTAATTTTGACTTGCCCTATACTTACAGTTGGTATCTCTGGGGAAACCTGCCTTATCTAAAGTCAACATGACAGACGTTTGCGACACTTTTAAAAAGCTTTCAAACCTCGGTAGCAGTACAGGGTAGCAGTTGCCTCGGCCTGGGTGGAACGAATAGACTTGCAGAGAGTAACTGCGTTCATTTTGTGTATGTTTCGTTGTTTGGTGTAGTTTGCTTTTAAAAAAAATTGGGAAGAATTCTGTGTCTTAAACATACAAATAAGTAATGGCCGTATACACCGACAAATTTAAGCGAGCTGCTTTCACATTAGGCATCTGTCTTTCAGGTGCTCCTTCTCCTCAAAATGATTAAATGTTAACTTAGTTCAATCACGGTATATTGTAGGTTTATACAAGGATAGGTACGTTGCATTATAATGTGACAGTTGTTTATGTGTTGGGACGTGAGACACAATCGGGAAGGGAATTAAATAAAAGGTAAAGTTTGGTGCGTAAGAAAAGACAAGAAAAATTAAATCTATTGTGCACGAAAAAATCAGGAAAAAAACCAACATGAACAAACAAAACCTGGCAGGATACACAAAAAATACCTAAATCAACTACGACAACAAAATGTCAAAAATAAATACACAAATTAAGCACCTCAAATCGCACAATAAAAATCAGGTAGGTAATAAAATTAATAGAACGAGAAACAAGTGACATAATATCTAAATACAAATGCTAGACAAGATTTAGTACAAAAACACATCTGAGATCAATGTAGGCAAATCAACTCGTAAAATGATAAATTGCATGGAGGTACATAAAAAAAAAACATTAAAATATAACTCTGTTCCGGCACCATCTACCATTAATTTAACACGAAAACGTGCAAGTGAGAATGCCAGTAGTATTGTGAAACTCGGTTAATACACAAACAGACCCATATACTAAACCGAAAAAATTTAATTAGAGTGCCTCCCTTCTCGTATTGCTAAGACACAACAGCTGCTGTTCGCACGAGATGACAAAGAAACAGATACAACGAAGAATCGAAATGTATTAAGTACTTTCCCCGCGGTATAAACAGTAAAGCAGTTCTGTCTACTGCAAGGTGTGTGGCCTAACCATAGGTGTATATCACCACAAGTGAGTACCTTGCGACTGTCTGTGTTCACTTCACATTCACTGGATGTTGGCCTATCGCAGTAGGACAAAGCGATGAACTTCCCTAGACACGTATTGGATCAATAGTGGCCTAGAACGGGGTCTGCAACAGAAGTTATGTATGCCGATAGGTATGTACGATCACCGGCTAAAGTAATGATACAATAATCGGAAGCTTACTGCCACTTAGGCAACCAACCATACATTATCTAAAATAGCAACGTTGAAGTTTATTCATTGTTGAAGTGTAACTTTTCCGGCGGGATGAGCCGCACGGTGTTGCGCATTGTCGTTTTTGCTTCGGCGTTTCTTCGTCACTGTCTTGTTGCTTGTATAACATAAATTGGTAAAACCGGATTATATTCATTACATATTATATTATTCGGGCAAGAAAGGCAGAAAGAGACGTTAATTCACATTGGTATCTTCAATCTCGTTTTTCTCTCAATTGAAATGAAAACTGGCCTTTAAGATTAATTTTGCAAGACAAGTTCTTATTTTAGTGATCCAATTTTGTTACACACTGACAAAAAAGGGCTGACTCAATGCTTCAACATTGGCAGTTTAGTTAGTGTACGGTTGGTTGCCGAAGTGGCAGTAAGCATCCGATTTTCATTACTTTTGTCGGTGATCTTACATTCTGCATGTAATGAAAGGATCTATCCTCCGTTGGTGCGGTCTCCAAATATCTTTACGAGTGCGGTTGGGTCTCAAAGACCCTATAACGATGTTGCCTTTTTAAAATTATTTATTTATTTACATCAAGGTAATTTTTGCAAAAAACTTTTATTTTAACTTACTGGAATTACATAAAAAACTAGTTGTAAATGTGTTATGATGTTATGTACTCTAGTTCTTACATAAACATTTCTTTGTGTGCGTCACTTCGTTTTATTGTCCTTTCCTAAATGAAATTTATTTGCAGACTTACTGCTACTGTCTTCTATTGTCGTTTCCCGTGTCTTAAATATGCTCTTCATTTTCTAGGTGTCCGGTCTCTGAATAGTCACTATCTTGATTAAATTATTACTATCCTCTCCATCTAACACAAACAAAACTAAAAGAAAGAAGAATCTGCACTACTGCATCATGTACTGAGCAGCTACTAAGCGAATCAGATGCATGCTAGATGTATTTGGCGAAAAAATTGTGCCGATGGATCTTACATACATACCCGACCGCACTAACGGAGAGTTAATCCCGGCGAAAGTAGAGATTCTGGAGCGATTTAAAAAAAATCTTAACGTTACTTACTAGATTTTTAGCGCATTTTTTAAGAATTAAAAAAAGAGTCCTAATCGTTATTCCTTGGGGGGGGGGGGGGGGGGGGGGGGGGGGGGGGATTATTGCCAGAGATGCTGTTATTGAAAGTAAAGCTTTTACATGCGACAACCAATTGGTCTCAGATTTTGCACACGCAAATTGGGGGTGGGATGAACCCTTCTACCCTTCATGGTATTCTAATAAAAGGTCTCACCGGAATGAATTGGTTTGTACAAGCAATGACTTTCCTACGCAACTCCTTTTCGAGATATAAGTGGTGGCCAGCGGGAGGGCTAGAAATTAATTTTATGTTTCATAGTACCTATTCCAATTAAAAGTCTCAACAAAAGGAACTACCGCTCTTCTTTGTGATTCCTTATCAAAACAGGGGGTGAAGGGACTGGTTTTATCCATTATAGTACTTTAATTAAAGGTCTCAAAGAAAGGAATTAATTTCTACCAACCATAGCTTCCTCCTCAATCCCTTTATATAAATAATTTCTTATGTCTCAAGAACAGATTGTCGGGGGAGGGTACTCACAAAAGGCGATTGGGACGCCTGGAAGAAATATCTATTGGTGATGTCAAAACTCTAAGCGAATGTCTCGAAAACGGTTTGTCGTAGGAAAGTATCCACAAAGGCAAAATGATTTGTCCGGACGAGACATATCTGTTGGTGAAGTAGAAGCGAATACCTTGAAAATGAAATGTCGGAAGAGGGTACTCGGGGCAAGTGGAACGTCAGGACGAGACATATCTATTGGTAATGTTAAAACTTTCAGTGCATAACGGAGTGACGGAGGAGTGTACGCTCAAAGGGCAGGAAGAACGTCTAAACGCGACAGATCTACCAGAGATGTAAAAACTTAATTGTGAATATTTCGAAAATGTTGGGGGAAGGTACCTACAAAGGAAAAATGCAATATTTCGGAGAATTTCTCTAATTCTTCTTGCATTATATACCGTACATTTTTAATGTATGCCACGCGACATTTAAAAGTTTATGTGTAAAAAGTCCCCTCCCCATGAATCATTTACCAAGAAAACATCGATAAATACTTACAGCATGCTTCTACCTTATAAGTTAGAACGTATAACCATTTACCTACTAAGCTTTTCGGCTTTTAAAAATGCCCTTTATCTGCACAAGAGTCGTGCACAAGTTATACTTGTTTATATTATCACGTTTTATGGCATCGGCACTAATATAGTGACGATGGGTCACCCTGTATAATCTCAATGTTTTTTAAAGTTAAATGTGGTCGCTAATTTATTTAATTTATGTTTATGTGGGTGGTTTAGTGACCATCTGCCATTGCACATAGCAGTATATCTTCTAGAAAAGTCCTCTAAATTGCTCTTCGCAATTAGCAAAAAATGACAAAACCGCAAACGGCCTTCCTTTATGAAGATTTTGTCTTTAAAGAATGTATCTTATGTCTGTCATGCGCGGGAATAGTCCAGATCTTTCCTCTAATGCTTATGTTGTCACAGATTTCACGTTCATCATGGGCTCATTTTGGCAATAAGATCATCAGTTATAGAAAATGCATGTACTACGTACTTCGAGTAGGGGGGTAACTACAGAATCACATTCCATTGTGATAATCAAAGAAGGTAAGACCAACCTGCATTTTAGTACACCGGAAGTGAGTGGACTACATATCAGAAAGATTGGCTATAATTATATTAAGTGATATTCTTCCTAAATTTATCACCGCAGGAATAGTTTCTTCAGCGTCACGTTTTCGGAATTAAGCGAGGTGTATTTGTTAGCGTTACCGCACACATGCCATTAATTAACTTTAATTTTATTGGTGTAAGTAAGCAGGTTGTTAAGATTAAAGTTAGCTATGTGGATACCGTTACCTGCACGAACTCCTCTCCTTTTGGTGTCTTCGGCGACTTCACAGTTGTTTACAGTAATCAGCAGTCTTCCAACGTGAGTTACGCCTTCAGCAAGAGTCCTTAATGTACGTACTGCTACTGGCGCAATAACCTTCTGTTTTGCGCTATTAATTTGTAACTGTGACAGTTTTCCTTGCGTCTACAAAATTTGTGAATTTCGTGCGAGTGATTTTTTGGTCGTTTCGCGCTAAAGACAATCATGAAGTGTGGTTTGTTAATTGTAAGTACCTTCAGCTACATTTTGGATTATATATATTTGGGTAATATGTGTGCGACGAATTATACTGTTTAGTATGTATTCCGAAATTTGGATAGATTTACCATCAATCATCTCATTCTAAGAATCCATGAAAATTAAGAACCATTTCAGTTGCAGATTTAATATTTTGAGCATGAGCTCGTTATCTGTTTAATTCCACTTTTTCCGGCTGTTAAGCACTTGATTCTGTTATTCGTTATGGTTATAGTTGTCCATAACTCCATAAAAAATAAAATAATGCTTGTTCTGAATGAAGCTATTAGGTATAAGCCAAATTAAATAAATCGCGTTGAAAAGAACTGTCCTCTAACCTGGTTTGACACAAAATTTGCATTTTTTGCCAATAACACCTGTCATTTGCATTGAGCCGGTTTAGATGCAGTATAAATTTACACCTCTATTAGATAATTAATTGATGCTTGAGTTGTAATTTACAAATTTTTATTTGATTGATAGGTGCGAAATCAAAATATTGCATTTAACTGTTATATAACATAACGTCCGCTTTTGTACGCGTAACTCATTATTATAGTTACGAATCATTAAATGGTATGTTATTATTTAATAAATAATAATATTTACTGTTAAGATGTTCATGAATGGGTTATAATATAACAAAGAAATGGTATTAAAAAAGCTTTATGCATTTCTCGTGTAACACTTTTGATTCTTTAATCACCAAAAAATTACATCAACTGGAACCATTCATTCTACTTATATATGTGGAAATTACAAAAACAAAATGAATTGTTTATGTGCAATGTATGCTGTAACGCGGGCAGTTATCTTCAATTAAAGAGGCGATCTGTACCAATTGTATGGTCTTGGTCTTGTAGAAGCTACTTCCATGTTAAGTAGACACCCCTAATTATACGCACTACTTGCCGTAGAAGGTTTGATGTAGGTATTGAATATGAAAGATTGTTAACTGGTTGTTAACTTGTTCTCTAAGATTAATATATATTTACTCGTCCAGTTAGGTAGGTAGGTATAACTGCTTTTAGTACGTGTCAATAATCGTTCGATATTAACAGTTATTAACTAAATTACGCAAGGTTAATGTCTGCATAAAATCTAATTTGTAAATATGAGAAATCGTAATGCTATAATTGAAATTAATTGATAATTTACGTTGAATGACATTAGGGATTAAACTTACCTGATAGGTCCATTCGCATTCGAATACATTTTACGGAAACGCGATGGACCGCCTTCCAAAAAATCTAACGTGCATTTCAGAAACGCTTTACTCTCAAGAACATTCTCTGACGGGACATCGGTAGCTCTCGAAAGCACACAATACGCCTTAGAAAATGCTACAGCGTGTTTAAAAGGTTCTGGAAGGAGCATAGAGACCTCTGTAAAGGATCTATAAAGCTATGGCATAAACCAGAAAAGTCCTATACCCAAGAGAGTCACAGTTACTCCCGCTTTTGAAACCCCCTCGCTCACTCGTTGATTGTAATTTGAGTTACTGTTGTACTTACCTGTCATAGCTCTCGCACATTGACCGTCACGACAAGCTGCGTATTGTATTGTTATTGTAAATTTTCAATCAACATCTTCATTATCGATTTAAGAAAACAAATTTCGGAATACTTATGACTAGATAAAATTCAGAACAAGAGATGTAAAGTTGTCGAAAACTTATGTAAACGTGTGTAATGAGGGGCATTTTAAAGAACAACAAGGGAAGTCACTAATTAAATGGGAGCTAATTATTGGTCAGAAGTCATTATTAAGATGCGACAAATCTACTGTAAACTCACCTTTCACTAGAAACGTCCCTCTGAATCTACGCATAAGGGGTTGGCATCACAGCATTCTGGTCGTCTCCCGCGCTTAAGGGTCATGTAAACAAATATTGCGACTGCTTAACCGCGATCCTCGCCAATGAATTAGTTAACTCATCGGGGGGCGTTAGCCCGGAGCTGGCGCTAAGCTCTCCTGGATCTCCAAACATTCCGGTTGGCGATTGGGGATTGGAGATGGTTTCCTGAAGGGTTAGAATGGAGCTCATACCTATTTGCGAAAGGGTTACGCCGCGCGCACGTGCATTATTTAGGATACACATCCCGCCTTGGCCCTCTGACTAGGACTCGGCCAATAGATCAATAACGTCGATCTATGTCGCTCATTGCCCTACCTGGGAACACCTGCAGGTGAAGCTCACCCCCGAACTCTTTTTGTTAACAATGAGGCATTTATTTTTCGAACTGGGTCGACACCATGATCTACTCGAGCGAGTAGATCACTCAGCGGTATAATCAACGGGAGTTATCCGGGACCGCGTCATAGGCACATGCACATAATGCACTCTAAAAAGCCTAGGAATATATCCGGATATCTGCCAGGGGTTTTACCATAGCCCAATAACAAAGCACGGCCAGCACGATGGCCTCCACAATACACTCACCACCTACACGTGAGAGACACTCACATTAAAGAGTTATTACGCCAAATTCACTACTACTTCCGATGCTCTACTTAGCATCCCTTACGATCGTGACCAGAACGCATACGTTTAACTTAACTACCTTAACACGATCTCTTAGGACCCTTGCACCCATATGTGCAGAATCGCGCATACTTGACCAGTCAGCTTGCCACATTTATCAAATAGGGGTTGCGTTGACATTTTACTTTTTCGTTATTAAGGACTACCATAAAATATCGTTCTTACACGTGTCTGTGCATATTTTATTTTGTATTCTCAATTCTCATCGGAAGAAATTTCTGAGTTTGCAACTAGTCTTATTAGATTTAAACTCAGAAGGTTTCCATAAGTTATTGCGTTAACATAAACTAAAATAAACTGCTTTTGCAGTAGGTATACAAACTACAGAACCATTTAAATTTAAGAAAGAGATGGCTATTTCTCCTTAGGAATTAATTACTCATGTCCGCGCTAGGTAGGAATTTCAGGTTTTAAGTCATTTCATAAAAAATTACTGTGGCTAAGCAGAATCCTGAGAAACAGTTTCATACCCTTAGATTGTTGTGGTTGGGTTGAGCGCCGGACAATCGTGGTATCTATTAAAATGCTTTCTCGTTGTGCGAAATTGAACTTCACGCTCTTGTTATTCATTCAAATAACTTTCGCTTCACTTTTTGTTAAAATTAAAGCAAAGATCAATGTATTTGTCAAACGTGGTGATTGATCTAAGGATAGAATAGGTCGAGGAATAGGTATTTGCGTTTCACTCATTTCCTATCACAACATGATGCCACAATCAGTGGCGGATTTACATACAGGCACACTAGGCACGTGCCTAGGGGCGTCAGCTTTAGGGGGCGGCATTTTTTTGCACTATATTTATTTTAGATAATATTTTAAGTTTTAAAATAAGTCCCCTAACAAGTTACAAATGAAAAAAAATTTTAATTAAAATTATGAAATAAATTGGAATTGGTAGACAGTTTAAACAAACTTAACTACAAGAACGATAATCGCCAATGCAAGTTTTGACATGTGTGAAAACGTAATCTATTAGTTTTAAAAATTTCAAGGTATAATGTGATTTTTATTAGCATCTTAAAGTTTATTGAAATTTAAAGATTATTTTTGGAGGGGCGCATATCTTTTGGTGTACCTAGGGGCGCAAAAAATTTAAATCCGCCACTGGCCACAACTATAAATGATTACAACCATAACCATAGACAACGTATGCATGATTATTTGCCATGTGAATAATACGATAATACAGTATTTTAATGTCACTTCAGTGTCTTTCAAAAGAAATTCTTTAAACGCTTTCATTTACTTCATTGGAGGCTCGATTGGAGGTAATAGTAAGTAAGTAATTGAATTAATTCGTCACGTTAATTTGTAACATGTAGCTAAGCACAGAACAAGCTAATTATCTTCTTCCGGTCTCATTAGAAGTCGGCTTCAATTAAGATATCAATAAATGATCTGGTGATCAGTACACTAAGGAAAAATGTAGAAATAGCGGCAAATTGAATTGTAGGTGGGTATGAGGTAGGTAGCTAGATCAATCAATGTGTTATTAAAAGGAAACACCGACGACGACGTGATCGGTCCATTGACCTAATGAATTACATACAAGCACCTACATATAAAGGTGCACAACAGAACCCGTTATATACTTACAAAGACAGAGAAGCGCAGGAAGTTTAAATTACCTTCTGATGAAATTTCTTAGAAAAAGTACAATGTGGTTTACTTTTTTTCAATAAAATGCACCTTAAACCTAGCATGGGTTGGCATGTACTGTACTAGATAACTACCCATGATATGACCAATCGATCTCATATGTGAGGCATGCTATCACAAAGAAGACCTCCATTGATTTTAGGTAAGTATCTCTTTATGACATTGACCAATCTAGACAGGAGAAACATCTATGTAGGGATACCTACTATTTTTAGCGCATTTCTATAAAAAAATTATCAAAGTCCTCGTGTGAGATCGAAGGGACTTCAGCGCATTTTTTGTGTGGCAGATCGGTGTTTTATTAGTCAGTATTGACTCCACCATCAATAAGATCTTGCTGAAATCTATCACATTCACTTTGTCGGTATCCGCTCCCGTGCACCCGCAATTCACGTTTGAAGTTTTGACTCCACCATCAGTACAATCTTGTCGGGGGCTACCATATTCTCTTTGTCGGTACCCACTTCTGATATCCCGATCACCAGCAATTCGAGTTTGAAGTTTTGACTCCACCATCAGTAAGATCTCGTCGGGGGTTACCATATTCTCTTATTTGTCGGTACCCACCTCCGACCTCCCGTTCACCCGCAATTAGAGTTTGTCTTTTTTACTCCACCATCAGTAAGATCTTGTCGGGGGGCTACCACATTCTCTTTGTCGGCACACAGTTCCGACGTCCCGTTCACTTGCAATTCGCATTTTGGTAGATTTCGCTAAAAACCCGGCACAAAATAGTACTAAATTTTTGGGTACTTCTCAAGCTCAAGCTTCTATATTGGCGACA